CCCCAAAACCCCAAAACCCCAAAACCCCATGCTCATTAAATTAAAGAGAATTCCTAATAGAATAAATTAATTAGAAGATGATAATTATTGAAATAAACAATTTAAAATAAAATGAAATTTCAGGAGTTAATTGATTGCTGCATCGATTGCATTAAAGCTTTCAATCCAGTCTACAAGACTATTGATACTCATGCAGATGACTACCTTAAGGAAGTAAGCAATAACTCTCTATTATTAGAAGCCAGAGTCTTATTAAAGTATAGTTTAAAGATCCATATGAAAAAGTGTTTATCAAGCAAGTATTTTATGGATGTATCAGATATCAAGAATTCTTAAAGGTATTAATATCACTATCATCATTTTTATTAAAATCTATTCTAGGTTTTCATTAACATCTTCTTTAAAAAGAACTCAGGATCAACAAACAGAAACGATGCAACTCTGTTTATGATATTCGGATATCTGACATTTTTCAGGCTTGAAGAGTTAGCTATAGAGGATTATAGAAAATTAGTTCTATCATAAGACTCTGTAAAAATGAATGTCTTTCTCTAATTTGCTTTTAATACTGAAAATCTTAGAAATCATGTGAGAGATGAATGGATGTCCTTATATGATTTTTCGTACATTGACGATAAAATCATTGGAGGAATTGAAAAAAATTTGCCTAATGTAAGTGAAATACTTAGAAAAGTTGAGAAAAGAGCAACTGGTAAGACAGTTTCAACTCTTAGTATGAGTGAAGACCAAACCAAGTTCTCAGAGACGGGAGGACTTTCATAAATGTCTCGAGGAGATGATAATGATAATAGAGCTAAAAAGATAACTGAATAAAAGCCATTTAATCTTACCAAACCAAAACCAAAGGTAATTCCATAGCCTGAGGCATTACCTAGAGAAATTAAATCTAATCCAGTTCCCAAGAATCTCTTCAAGAAAACTTTAGCAGACATTGAAAAAGAAAAAGAAGACAGGAGAAAGCAAAAGGTAGATGCTGTTAGATAGTAATACGAAGGGCCGGATGCTAAAAAGAAGCGTTTTGAATTGAAGTCCGAAGCAAGACCAAATAAATTTGAATAAGTGAAGAAACAAGTTCTTGAGGAAAGAGATAAGGAATTATAATTCAATGCTCATCGTGCAAGAGAAATGCCAGACTTCAACAAAAAAGAAGCAGCAGTTAAACTTACATCAGCAGCTGTGCTTAGAGAAGGTTTTGCATTGAAGAAAAAAGAAGAAGAAGATATTAAAATTATGAAAGACTTTGAAATGAATCTGAGAGATGAAAAGGAATATGAAAGATGGAAGAGGGAAATGGCTGAAAAGGAGGAAATAGAAAGAATTGAGCATTTCTAAAAGAAAAAGATTGAAATGGAGCTAGCAAGAGAAGAAGCCATTGAGGCTTAAAAGAGAAAAGAAAAGGAGAATTAACTGCTTGTCATGAAAATGAAAGAAGAAATGGAAATAAAGTTCATTGAGAGAGACGATTAAAAGAGGGAAGAAATGGGAAAGAAAAAAGAAGTTATAGAATAAGTTCAGTCATAGAAGGACAATGCTATAAAAGAGCAAGAAAGAGTCAAGGAAGACAACAGAAAGATTCGTGATGAAGTTAATCGTGAGCTAACAGAAGCATTATAAAGAAAGAAGGATGAAGAAGCAGTTGAAATGCGTAAAAAAGAGGAGCTTATCAGGCAAATAAGGGAATTAGAAAGAATACCAATAGTTAGAACTAAAGGTTTTGATCCAACTGAGACAAGTGGAGTTGGTCTATTGGAGGAGATGTCAATTGCTGAACTAAGAGAAAGGTTAGAGTTTAATAAAATGAAAGATGAATAAGAGACCAACTAGAGAAGAGAAGAAAATTTGAAATTTAAAGAGGATCAAGCTAAGAAGCTGATGGATGAGGCCAATAAAATATACGAAGCACGTGAAAACCGAAAAAATAACAATCAAAATAAAAAAGAAGAGAAATAAAAGTAAAAGGACAATTATGATGCTAAAATGAAGGCTGCTAGAGAAAAGGGTTTATAGGAAGTATATGATAAAATTTCTCAAAAGAAAAAGGAAAAGAAATAAGAGGAAGATAGACTTGCTAAGGAACTTAAGGAAATTAAACTACAAAGACAATATTTGAATGCAAATAGAGCTATGGTTGAAGAAAAAGCCTGGAAAGAATTAGAAGCTGGTGCTGAGCGTAAAGTGAGAAACGGACAAAACTAAAAACTAATTGACTAATGCAATTTAAACGAGATCAAAGTAAAAGATGAGACTATCAGAGCAACAAATGCTAAAAACACTGTCTTATCAAAACTTGATGTTGATAGGCAATTCTAGGACAAACTATAATCCCAAAAGAAGGAGAATGAAATCGTTCATAAAGGCATTCTTGAATATAAATCTGAGAAGCATGAAAACTAAAGGGAATTCGAAACTCAACTTAAGGTAAATAACCAAAAGAGAAATCCATTCAATGCTAAAATAAATCAACAAAGTCTGGCAAACGCAACTAAAGTCAGAGAAAAGAAGTTAAGAAATCAATTTTACGGTGGTGATACCAATCAACAAGATGATAATATGTTTGCTTATGACTACGAAGATATGGGAGGTGGAATGGATATGCTAGATGATGCAGGGGCTGGAGCAGACATCGAATCTAAACTAATGGGTGAACATTGATTATAACTTAGATTATGTCAAATTGATTTAAATAATCACCTAAGCTATCTATACTTCTATTTAATATTTAGTTTCTTCAAAATATTGCAATAAATTTCTGCTTGGGGTTTTGGGGTTTTGGGG